AGAGGCTGCGTCCAGCCATTCATTCATTCCTGCGGAAGCTCTGCGGAAGCGCTGCTCGGGCGTCTTGTGCAAGGGAGGTCTGCAGATGGCCTGAAGACGAAGTGGGCAGAAGTTAGTGATAGGCTAGTTAGCTGTTAGTGGCCATGCGCCATAGCCATAGACAGTTAGTAAGTGTGTATGTGTGTGTGCAGTGATTGGCGTGCATGGTATCCAGGGTGATCCGGAGTCGAGTTGCGTGTGAACTCTGAGTCGAACGTGTAAGTGTGGGCGCCCAGCGCCATAGTCAACTGAAGTGAACTTGGAATTGAGTTGAGTTGTAAGCTACCATATCTCCGAGTTTGAGTTGGGTGCACAGCGCCAAGTTATTCTCATCTGTTGCATGCATGTTGACTGTGAATTTGCAAGACTGATTTCAGCTCCACCCTTTATGGATCAAATAAATATATGTATTTATGTATATGTGCAAGTGTGCCGCTTCAGCGGCCGACGGGTGTGTGGGCACTTGGGGCTGAGAACCACACAAAAGTGGAAAACCTTCCATTTTCTATTATATTGTCTATCTATACTTTTTTGTTATGGATGGTTTGTTATGATTTGTGGAGGAAATGAGCGAGAGAATTTGGGCACACAGTTGTGGTGGAAATTTAAAACACACACCACACGCGCACACACAGACAGAGGAAGAAGAAGAAAAAGAGATGGAGGAGAAGAAGACAAAGCAGGAGACGACGGACAATTGAGGTTTCCTCTCTGTCTCTCAAGCGGATACTCACTGGTGGAAGGCAGAGGCAATGGGTAGCAGTAGACCTCCAAGCCATGGCACCAAGTAAGTGGACTTCACCACACCTATCCCTCTCGAACTTCTATGCAGCTGGATGCTCCACTCGCCAAATCAGCAACTTACTCATGATGCGTGCTCGGACAAACTGACGTCCAGATGCTCGGTCTGCCTCTTCCCAAGTACTACTGAGCCAAGGTGCTACCGCTGATTTGCTCTGTACATGATGCCTCAATGCCGACTCCAAAGCTTGACCCAAGGCACGTGTATGTGGAGAGGTGTGGATAATTTCAAAATCACTGTTGTTCGTTCCATCCCATTCAGTTTTTCGTGTTCAGCGTATGCCTCACCTGGGCATGTATGTTGAGAGATGCAGGGATTGTTCTTTCCAGGTTCGAATTTAGCTCCCCCCCTCCCCACACACACAAGTCTTTGCATGCACACACACACAAACAGGCGACAGCGACAAGAATGAGGGTGACGACGATGACAACTACTGCGAGGAGGGCTCACACACACACGTCGTCCTGCTGAGTTCGTGAACGCCTAAGGAAACAGTTTGGCACGGTCATCCTTTTATGTGGAGTTAGCAAACATGACAACACACCCATGCGACTGATGATGACCAAGACAAGATGGTGACGAGGATGCAATGGAGAAGGAGGATGTGATAGAGGAGGGCAGACAAGGAGGATGGAGGAGGATGACCACGACAATGAGGATGGAGGGGGACGACCACGACAATGAGGACGGAGGAGGACGACCACGACAATGGAGGGAGGAGGATAAAGGATCGAGGCGGAGATGGAGGAGGGAAGACATCGTGGATGATGGGCAGTGCAGGGATGATGGAGCAGGGAAGAGGAGGGAGGACGGAGTGAGGAGGACGAGGAAGGAGCGATGATGGATGAAGGAAGACCGTAGAGGATGGAGGGAGGAGCAACCCGGGAAAAGGAGGGGGGATGGAGGTAAGAAGCATGGCGACGATGGTCAAGCAGGCCTTGGTGTTTCTTTCCGCATGTTTGTTTTTCTTCAGTTTTTTTTTTTTTTTTGTGTGTGTTACCCCGCACGGTGGGGACAGAAATGTGGGCTGCTGTCATTTCCCTAGAGTCCCCGCGCAGCAGATGCCACCTGAGGAGGTGATGCAAGCTGGCACGACCATGGGAGGAAAGTGGATGGTGGCAGTTAGCCTGTAGTTGCCACACATGAGAGAGAGAGAGAGAGAGAGAGAGAGAGAGAGAGAGAGAGAGGCGGAGGATGAAAAGGAGGTGAGGAGGAGGGAGGACCACGATGACGATGGATGGAAAAGGAGGGAGAGCAGAGGAGGGAGGAGGATGGAGAATAATGGAGGAGGAGGGAGGAGTATGGAGAATAATCGAGGAGGAGGGAGGACCACCACAATGATGGATGGAAAAGGAGGGAGGATAGAGGGGTGAGGAGGGAAAGGTACAGGAGGAGGAGGAAGAGGAAGAGGAAGAGGAGGAGCAGCAGCAGCAGGAAAAGGAGGGAGGCACATGAGGAGCAGCAGCAGCAGGAAAGACAGGGAGGTACACGAGGAGGAAAAAGGAGGTGGGAGAGTAGCACCCGGCAGAACGGGGAGGACAAGCGGCGCTTAAGCGATGAAGTTGGAGAAGAGGGAGAAAGAGAGTAGCAGAAGAAGAGGAACACAGGGAGGACAAGACCTGACACATTCAGACTGCAGTGGAGAAGCGGAGGGAAAGATAGGGAAAAGGGAAAGGTTGAGCCCGTCACGTCCTACCGGAGAGACATGACACATTGCGTGGATGCAGAGGGAAAGATAGGAAAAAATGAGCTCAAGGCATGACACATTGAGACTGCAGCGGAGTGAAAGAAGGAAAGGAGGAGGTCAGAGGTGATGGTCTGATGATGATGATGATGATTATGATTATGATTATGATTATATTACCTACATTATTCATTAAAATTACTAATGGAACAAATCCTGAACCAAGGCCGTCCGCACTCTGAAACGGCAACGGCTTTTGGACTGTTGCAAGAAGGTAACAAATGTCGAATCCAGGCCGCCGCATCCTATCGGGTCAATGGCCTGGATCATCACACGATCTTAAGATTTTCAGACCGCATGGCGATCCAGGCCGTCGGCCTGAAACCGCTGAGCCAACAGCCCTGATTCACCTAGAATAGGCCTACCGGTACCGGCGGATCCTACTGCTTTGTGTGTGTGTGGTCATGGTGGTGCATGCTTGCGTGGATGCGGTCGTGTGCATTCGTGTGTGCATGCATCTGTGTGTGTGTGTGTGTGTGTGTGTGTGTGTGTGTGTGTGTGTGAGAGAGAGAGAGAGAGAGAGAGAGNTGTGTGTGTGTGTGTGTGTGTGTGTGTGTGTGTGTGAGAGAGAGAGAGAGAGAGAGAGAGAGAGAGAGAGAGAGAGAGAGAGAGAGAGAGAGGGTTGGGATGAGAAAGGAGAATATGACAGTTGGAGAAGCACTTTGGTTTCCTATCAGCTGGTGAGCTGAGGAGGAGGGGTAGGAATATTACGTTGCTGAAGGCAGGAAGAAGCAGGATGGCGGAAGGCATAGGGGGCTATGTTGCTTCGTTTTGGTCTCTTGATTCATTCGGGTTTTGTATTTCCGTTTCACTCCACCACATTCCTTCCTTCCTATTTTCCCCTTCAATCTCCCCCTCCTATGTGTTTTTCTGTTTCACTCCTTGTCATTCTTCTCTCCCCTTTGTCCTCCCCCACGTCAGCCTCTGCATTATGTCCAGTTCCATGTGGAAGCCATGGAAGTCAATATCCTCCTACCTCCAGGAGAGCACTGGTTATGAAGGGAG